CTGCACCACTGCATTCCAGCCTGGCGACAGAGCAAGACTCTGTCTTTAAAAAAAAAAAAAATCTACACACTGTAAGCAATCTTTTAATTGCAATGTAGCTTTGCAAGCAGCATGCTTATAGGAATAATCAAAAATAAAAAATAAAAAACAAAAACAAAATACAGAGAAAGAGAAAAGGCAAAGGTGACAAAATGTTAACAAGCAACAAATCCAAGTGAAAGGTATATGAGTGTTCACTGGACCACAATTAATTTTTCTTTTTCTTTTTTTCTTTTTTTTTGAGATGGAGTCTCACTCTGCTGCCCAGGCTGGAGTGCAGCGGTGTGGTCTTGGTTCACTGCAACCTCTACACCCCGGATTCAAGCAATTCTCCTACCTCAGCCTCTCAAGTAGCTGGGATTCAGGCGCCCGCCACCATACCCAGCTAATTTTTATATTTTTAGTGTAGATAGGTTTCACCATGCTGGCCAGGCTGGGCTCAAACTCCTGACCTCAAGTGATCTGCCTGCCTCAGCCTCCCAAAGTGCTGGGATTACAGATGTGAGCCACCACCCTGCTGTGCAATTAACTTTTCTAATATAGGTTTAAGTTTTTCCAATACAAAAAATTGGGGAGACAGAAATGAGATAATTTCCTTGGTAGTCTCACCAAGTTTAGGAATCAAAAATGTCCTTAAAAACTAATGAGAAAAGCCTGAAGGTACCATTTTCATTGTTTCAGTAAATAAAGCAAATATCCAAATCTACATGTTATAGAGCAATTAACACTCTACAATTATATTTCTCTTCCAGAAAACAGAAAATACAAAAATTCTTATAAAAATATTAATTTTCTGATTCGCCCTTAAAAGCCTTTCGTTCTATGGACAATTACCATTACTTTTAGATCTCTGTTGTTCTCTAACTCGTTAATCAACAAGTGGTCTGGTGGAACAATATCATAGCATCATCTATGCACTTGTAAGAAATGCAGAATCTCTGAATCCAACCCAACCCTGCAGAATCAGAAACTGCACCTTAGTAAGAAACACAGGTAACTTGAAAGCACATTAAAGTTTGAAAAATCACTACTGCAGACATTAAAATGCATTTACTATAAACATCATAAACCTATTCAAATCATAAACATCAAAGTCAGTTAAGAATTAGAGGAAATATGTCTGTTTGAAAACTTTTTAACAGTGTTTTTTCCAAGAGTTTAGTCTGAACTACAAAGTAATCCAAATGTGTGTGTGTGGCAGAGGCAAGGAGATCTCTCACAATCTTTAATATTGCACAAAATCTAATCAAAATCTATTAATACCTTTGAAAACAACTGTAAAAGAAATTCTAAGAAGTCTGGTTAAAACACCAACATTATTTGGCATAATCAATACAATACCACAGAAGATAAATGCAGACATATCAAGCGACACAAAATTGTTACTCAATACATCCAATCTGTTGAATGAATGAACTATTTTCTACAACCTTTAAAAACTGCTTCCTCACTAAAAGCATTGCTTTTCTGCCTCAAAATTAACACCCAGTTTCATTATAATCAATCAAGAATCATAAGGCAAGTAAAATAGAGGTAGGACTAAACCAGTCAGTACATGCAATCAAATAAACACCTGAAGATAACCTTTGAGGTAAGCTAGGTCCTTACGCTCCCCTAAATGAGTATATATTAGTATATACTCATTTTTCTATAAAAGTTTTTTTTTTATAAAAAATATCTGGCAATAATTTTTTTCTATTAAAAAAATCTGGGCAATAATTTTCCTATAACAGGCCAGGATCAGAAAGAGTAAGTAAGAACAGCTGAAAGAAACACACAGGTAGCTTGAATAAACTCTAAATGTTCTCTACAATTTCCTTATTAACTATAAGAGTCTTTTTTTTTATTTGATTTCTCTAATAAACTTTTCTACTTGGAAGAAAATGTATGACATACTAAGGATCCCAAAGAGTTTATATTTATGTGGATTATATTACTGATATTTACTACACTAGAAATTAGAGCTGAAACATTTAAAAACATTAATTCAGCCGGGCGCAGCATCTCACGCCTGTAATCCCAGCACTTGGAGGTGTATGCCACCATAGCTGGCTAATTTTATTTATGTATTTCTTTGTTTATCTTTATAGACAGTCTTGCCCTGTCATCCGGGATGAAGTGCAGTTGTCTGATCATAGCTCACTGAAGACTCGAATTCCTGGGCTCAAGTGATCCTCCTGCCTCAGCCTCCCAAGTAGCTAGGACTATAGGGGGACACCACTGTGCCCAGCTAATTTTTAAACTTTTTGTAGAGATGGGGTCTCACTGGTCTCAAACTCCTGGGCTCAAGCAATTTAATCTTCCTTCCTCGACCTCCCAATGTGCCAGGATTGCAGGTGTGAAGTATCGTGCCCATCCAGTTTATCGTAATAATAATGTGGAATCTGAAACATTATCAACGAACATTTTAAATTGTTACATTAAAATCTCTTATTCTAATGTTGCACTTTGAAGGGATTTTTTTGTACACATGAACTTTTAATGGGTGTTTTCACACATGCATAATCTTGTAATATCAAGCACTGGTAATCTGGAAATGTTGACTGATTTACATAGATTTCCAAATGTTGACACTTTTCACTATGTGAAAATTTTAAGATATCAGGTGTTAAAATGACCACCAATCTCTTCAGAAAATTATTTAAGAATAATAAAGCACCGGGCGCAGTGGCTCAAGCCTGTAATCCCAGCACTTTGGGAGGCCGAGGCGGGTGGATCACGAGGTCAAGAGATCAAGACCATCCTGGTCAACATGGTGAAACCCTGTCTCTACTAAAAATACAAAACATTAGCTGGGCATGGTGGCGCGTGCCTGTAATCCCAGCTACTCGGGAGGTTGAGGCAGGAGAATTGCCTGAATCCAGGAGGCGGAGGTTGCGGTGAGCCGATATCGCGCCATTGCACTCCAGCCTGGGTAACGAGAGTGAAACTCCGTCTCAAAAAAAAAATAATAATAATAATAAAGCTTTCAAGTTCACAGTGGCATCATGTTTTCCAAAATTCTAATTTTCACTTAAAAGTTCAAATTTTACCATTGACAACAAATACCATCACTTGTTTTCTCTGCACTGAGAGGTTCACTTTATTCTTTTTCAAGAAAATGTCTGACAAATAACAAAGTCTCAACAACCACAATTTGTCTGTCAATCATTCTTTCAAGTAAAATAATGGTGTTTCACGGAAGTAAGAGACGAGTTCAGCTGGCAACCAAACAATGGCACAACTGCTTTCCCTCAAAACAACCATATTTGGCATGCAACAGAATAGCTTTATGTGTACTTCCCATTCCATCATGCAGGTTACTAAAAAGACATGTACTTAAGATTAAAGGTTATGGGGAGAAAAGCCAGATATAGGTGATGGGGAGGAAGGCAGCAAATCACACTGCCATGTGTGTACCTATGCAACAATCTTGTGTTCTTCACATGTACCCCAAAACCTAAAATGCAATTAAAAAAAAAAGAGTAAAGGTTGTGCTAAGGTGCCCACAGTTTTAACCACCATTGTTTTTGCGTAACAGTGTAAATGTTAACACAATGGGAAGGGGCAGTAACATTTTGATATTATTATATCATGAAAACAGATTTGACCTGATGAATCCATTGAAAGGGTTTCAGGGCCCAGCAAACAGAAAAATCTCCATATTTGTTGAATGAATGAATGAGTGAATAAATAAATAAACAGACAGCTATGATACATTTTCATCTAGATTTCAAAGTATTTGCGTTTATTTTTCACACACACAAAAATCTAATTATTGAAATTATTTTCCAACATTAACAGTAAAGACCTGTTAGGCAATATAGCACCCCCATCCTTAATATGTTTGAAGTAGTTTTATCTCCACACCTCTCTAAACTTAAATTGTTGAATATGCAAGCATTCCTTGTTTTGCCTGTAACACGGTAACTGAAATTCATGCATACCAGAACTATGTGCTCTATCTGTACTATTCTTTGGTAACTAAGGTATTCAGCAACATGGTATTGTGCAAAGCACATTATAAATGTATATGGAAATAAGTTCTAATGACCCACAAACTCAAATTCAGTAAAACAACAAGGAAAAGCATCATATGAAGAATGAATGAGCACCCTTTGGGCAGTAACAATGAATGGACAGCCCTAATGGGAAAGAAACTCAGACACCTAAAAGACTTTTTCAAACTCTACATGCCTCTCTCCAACCCCTCATTGCTATTTGAGAGGGAATCACTATTCGTGATCAACTAACGTAAGTGTTTCCAATCACAAAATCTAAACGGTGTTTGAATTGGGGGTGGGGGACAGAGCAGAAGCAAGGTGGTTTGGGGAATGAGAGACCAGTGCTTCATAAAATATCGAGACAAAATTAGGTCACATTAAATTTAGTTTGGTCTTAAAAACTACAGGAATGAACATTTCTCAAAACAGAGGTAGGTCAAATCATTGGATTTTCATCTCCTAACCCTTTTCTTAATTCAATTGAAATGACCTTAGAATTACATCGACATGAGGGATTTTTGTTCTTTCTAGCTGACTTTAAAAAAATTAACACCAACTTTCAAAACTTTCATAAATTTTATTTTTTATAGAGGCAGGGTCTCCCTATGTTGCCCAGGCTGGTCTCGAGCTCCTGGGCTCACAAGATCCTCCCACCTCAGCCTCCCAAAGTGATAGGATTACAGGCATGAGCCATCGCATCTGGCTCAAAAACTCAAATTTTAAACAGTATATTCAGCTCTAATTAAGAAAAGGAGTTTATACATTAAAAGTTTAAGTGTTTCTGCCAAGAGTCAGGAAAAAATTGAAAAGTATCTTATAGACAAATACTCACTGAAGCTTAGCAACTAAAAGAGTATCATGGGAAAAGCAATAAATAACTTCGCTTAACAAAAAAAAAAAAAAAGAAAGAAACAAAATTCTACTCTATTTACTATGTATCACAAAGGGGATAAAGGGGAAATGCTATTTAAACTATACCTTAAAATGTACTGTGATGTTCCAAGGAAGAGCTGAACTTGATGCAAGAAGATCAAATAGCAAACCAATTGGATAATGCCTAAAAATGAAAGAGTATATTTTGAGAAAATAAACATGTAAAGGTATAACTACAACTCCAAAATAAATTTCCAACACATATTTTAACACCAAATGTCAGGGGCTTTAATCACAAATTACAGGAAAGCTACATTCTATACTGACATGCCTGGGCTAGTATGATATATTTTCCAGGCATCAGGTGGCTTCCTTCTAACCACTTCATTTCCACAGAAACCTCAATATGCACAATGGGATTGTGGGCAAAAGCATTCTTTATCAGCCATGTGCACTGTTATGTCACAGTACTGCTGCAGCTAATTATCATCCCAGTATTCATAAAGGAAAATTGGTTTTTGTAAATTTATTTAAATATGCTTTTTACTTTTAGAACTTAAAATTTTAAAAAACTGTAAGAACCAAGATGAGCACCTAAAAAACATGCAAATAATAAACTATTCTGTGGTTATTACTATTATTATGGCATATAAATTTGCAGTCTTTTACCTATACATACACCTCTAAATATAGATTAGGACTATCCTTTACAAGCTGTACTATAACCTTTTTCACATAATATAATGTCAACATTTTCCTGAGCCATTGAATATTTTTATGAAACCTAACTCTAAATTTAAAAAAATAAATTCTGAAATAAGAGAACATTTCCTAATATAACTATTACTCACAGTGAAGTAAATTACTTAGCAATAAATAAACATGACTAATACAAATGTTGTAGATTTCAATGGACAAACCTTTAGTCATCCTTTAAAAAAATCTAAAGTGAATTAGCTTACTTGGTTAATCAGAATTAAATAATACAGGTTGAGTAGCCCATTTCTAAAATGCTTCAGATCAGAAGTGTTCCAGATTTCAGCTCTTTTTTTTCAATTTTGGGAATATTTACATTATATTCTCACCATTTGAACAACCCAAATCTGGAAATCTGAATGCTAGAATGAGCACTTCCTTTGAGTGTCATGTCAGTGCTCAAAAGCTTTTGGATTTTGTAGTCTTAGATTCTTGATTTCAGATTGTGGGATTTGGGATGCTCAACCTGTACTCACAACAAAGGCAAAAAGAAGACTACTCCTGGTGTCACACATAGTCCTGTCTTTATCTGTATACTATATTAATGAGTTACTCCTAGATTTAAGACCTGCAAAATTTGAAAACACACCAAATGTTTATATATTAAATTGTGTGTGTGTGTGTGTAATTTATTCTTGCTTATGTTTGCCTAATTATGAAAAAGTTATCAGTTTCTACAGATCATGTATTTATTTGGTAGGAATTTGGGGTGAGTCAGGTGCAGTAACTCAAGACTGCAATCCCAAGACTTTGGGAGGCCAAGGTGGGTGGATCTCTTGACCTGAGGTCAGGAGTTCCACACCAGTTCAAGTACTTGAGACTGACATGGTGAAACCCTGTCTCTATCCAAAAATAAAAATAAAATTTAAAAAAATTAGCTGGGCATGGTGGCACACACCCGTAGCCCCAGTTACTCAGGAGGCTGCGGCAGGAGAATTTCTTGAGCCCAGGGGGCAGAGGTTGCAGTGGGCCAAGACTGCACCACTGCACTCCAGCCTGGATAACAGAGTGAGACTTTGTCTCAAGATTTAAAAAAAAAAAAAAATTTACCTGTTGATAAAAATAAAACAGTGGGGGTACTTTTAGTCTTATATGTGTTATATCTCTTCATAATAACCCTGAAATTTCTCTCTAATCAATCCTTACATATGGAGAAAATAATACTGAAGAAAATTCTGGAACCAGGAAAAATTCTGGCCTCAGTCAAAACCTAAAATTAAAATACACACACACACACACACACACACACACACACACACACACACACACAAAGCATTATAGACAAGTTACAGATTCAATCCAATTCTGATCCTTTTCTCTGAAGTATTACAATTGTACAAGCTCTAAATAATGCCTTATACTTTTACAAAACAGACATTTTAATGTCTTCAATTTATTTTTTAGAACATCTCTCTTAGGTATCTGCAATAGGGTTAAAGATGAATATAGGCACTTAATTAAAGTTTGATTTACTTGGATTTCATGAAAAAAGATTTAAAATTTCAAAAGTAACAGAATATTGCTTTCCAAATTCTAAACAGTACTGAGAATACAATTACAAAGAATTCCACCAAGCAAAATAAATAGGCAATCTATTAGATAAGATTCACTAGAGATCACATAAAATGACTAGGAAACCAGTTTTTTACATATTCCCTGACATTAACAAATGTATGAAACACTTCTGTGAATTTGTAAGCAAATTCTAAACCAAATATCATATCTTAAAGCAATCTATAATATAAAAGCAAATAACCTTTTTTTTTCTTTTTTTTTTTCAGACAGGGTCTTACTCTGTAGCCAAGGCTGGAGTGTAGTGGTATGGTCAGAGCTCACTGCAACCTTGACCTCCTGGGTTCAAGTAATCCTCCCACCTCTGCATCCTGAGTGGCTGGGATTATAGGCATGTCCCACTGTGCCTGGCTATTTTATTTTTATAGAGATAGGGTCCTACTGTGCTGCCCAGGCTGGTCTCAAACTTCTGGGCTCAAGCAATCCTCCCACTTTGGCCACTCAAAGTAATGAGATTATAGGTGTGAGCCACTGTGCCCAGCCCAAATAACTTTTAAAGTAAATATCTGGATCAGAATTCAAGTTAAACATAAGACTCAATCATCAATTATTATTTACCCTCAATATTTTAAAAATGAGAAAACTATAAGTTCAGAGAATCTTGAACAAAGTAGATAATAAATAGCTGTTGAACGCATAAATCATCGAAGTCCACAGACTAACCCTAGGTACAACATAAAGATCCAATGGAGCAAATTTTAGGTTCTGAGTTTCTTTTTTCAGCAGTTCTATTTTAATAATTGATACTTCATGACTTTTATTCATTCTTAAAGGTATTCCAAAAAAACAGAAAAAACTCACTAAAAAAAAAAAAAAAGATAAAACTTAACTCCATCTAGTAATTACCATACGGATCCACTGGATCCTTTTATAATTCTAAGATATATTTTAGGGTCTTAATGATCTTATTGTTTCCTATATATTGAAACATTTTACTATTTCATCAGTCTACAACTTATCTGTCATTACTATCTGTCAATTATTCCCAATTATACTATAAAACACTAAAACAGTAACAGTTTGAAAAAACAACGTGATGCCTACAAGGATGATACAAGAATGTACCCTGCTTTCATTTTCTTAGTGTGCTGCCTGAAGTATTGAAACATCTTTCAAGAAAGTGTAAAATAAGAATGCAGGCTGGGCACAGTGGCTTAAGCCTGCAATCCCAGCACTCTGGGAGGCCAAGGCAGGTGGATCACCTAAGATGAGGAATTCGAGACCAGCCTGACCAATATGGTGAAACCCCATCTCTACTAAAAATACAAAAATTACCTGGTCATAGTGGCATGCACTTGTAGTTCCAGCTACTCAGGAGGCTGAGACAAGTGAATTACTTGAACCTAGGAGGTAGAGGTTGCAGTGAGACAAGATTGTGCTACTGCACTCCAGCCTGGGTGACAGAGTGAGACTCTGTCTAAGGGAAAAAAAAAAAAAAAAAAAAAAAAGGATGCAGATCCCATTCTGGAGTCAGCTTTTAGCTATCATTAACAGAGTTGAAAATCCCAAGTTTCTCATTTTCTACCTATAATGGCAGAGAAAAAAAACTGACAGAGAAAGATGTTCCACAATTATTACATAAATCAGGATAAAATACAAAGAGAGACAGCAGTACTTCAGACTTATTGACAATAGTGAAATAGATCATTTAAGTGAAATAAACTCTGAGTTTTTAGATGATATCCTAATTTTTACAGAGCTCAAGAACTAATAGAAGAACAATGTACTTCCAAGGACAAAAGGAACATATGGTGATCATAACAGCTTATCAGCAGAAAAGACTTCATTACATGATATTTTAAGACAAAAACCTGGACCTTCCCATTTTACTAAAAGAATGTGTCGCAATATTATTTCATCTTTTATGCTACTTGCACACCCAAAGTTATTTGGTAGTGGGCAAATGCAAAAGGCATATTTACATACAAAGACTGAAGGAATTAGATCTCGTAGAAATGAAAAAGAAGTACTGATCAGTTTAATTGGTGTTTATTCATATAAAAAAGAAAATATTTTACAATGAACTCATGAGCTGTCAAGGGTTTTAAAAATTCCAAGTATTATTAATATGTTAGATGCAAGAAGAGCCAGAAGTAATAAGGTAGAACCTCTCAGAAGTGTATCTGAAAGTATAAAATATAATGAGCAATTAGCTGCATTCAGGGGATGCTGGCCATTTTAGATACCTTAAAACAAGGAAAATATGAAATGAAAATGTGAATTATCTGTATTTAAACATGTATTAAAATTTCTAATAAAGTTGTCATACACTATTCCTTTATTCTAACTTCTCTAAATTATTTGCAAAATGACTTAAAATATACATAATATATATTACAAATATATATAAATATTTATATGTCATTATATATTATGTATATATTTTTATAATTATATAACTATATATGTAATAATATATTTTATATACATTATATATAACTATATATTTATATATAACATACAAGTACATATATACTCACAACCTTTTTTTTAAAAGTTCATTGGGGCTGGGCATGGTGGCTCATGCCTGTAATCCTAGCACTTTGGGAGGCTGAGGTGGGTAAACTGCTTGAGCCCAGGAGTTTGTCACCAGCCTGGGCAACATGGCAAAACCCTGTCTCTACAAAAAATACAAAAAAAATTAGCCAGGCATGGTACTCAACAGAGTGAGACCCTGCCAAAATCTTTAAAGATTTTTTTAAATTTTCATTGGTCCCAGAGGGTAAAGGATGATGACTCCTTTGTCTTGATATATAAAGAATTAGGAGACAAACTGAAACAAATGCTTCCTTAAAATTAAATTAAAATTAGCCAGGCGTGGTGGTATGTGCCTGTAATCCCAGCTACTCGGGAGGC